ACTTTCGAAAATACACTCTGGTTGGAGTCACCCGTGTTGGGCGCCGAATCTGTGTCCGCCGACTTATTCAGGCCGCTGCCCGGTGCAGGCGGTGCGCCGCCCTCGCCAGTTAGGCCCTCCACCCAAGTCAATGGATATGACAGACGTTTTAGCATCTAGAAAGCGTACACAATATTAAATTAATTGTGACAGATGTTTCTGCAGCTTGTTTACTTGTGTTTTAGCTCACCTTATTTTTCTTGTCCGCCTGCTTGTCGCCGCTCGCGGCAGCTGCCGATGCGGCTGCCTGTGCCTGCTGTGCTGCCTCGTCGTCAACGGTGAAACTGACGCTGGAGGTCTTCTTGCGAGCACCGCCAGCGTCCAGGCTCTGGCCAAGAATGGTGCTACGTGGCGGTGACTCGCTGAAATGCGTGGGTACAATGGTCTTTGGCGGCACCCAGTCTGAGCTGAGCACGATGTCAGCGTCGCTGTATACGGTTTTCTTTGGTATCGGCTGTATTGTGGGTATGGGTTCGCGAATGTCGATGCCTGAATCGTAACAGGACTGCTTCGACAGCTCCTCAAGATGCTCCAAATCAATGCCAGATGGCGGCAGCATGCCTGGCACCAGACCCCCAACAGCACCTGATGCAGCAGCAGCCGCAGCAGCAGCAGCTGCAGCGGAACCTCCTACGGCTCCTTTGGCATCGCCGCTAACCGAGCTCGCTGTCGATTGTGGGTCCTGGACCCGTGCGCCGCTGTCTATGGTAATGTTGGACTCGTTGTCGGCCTCGTCTTCCGATGATCTTCGGGAATTAGACAAACAATAGCTGAGTATTTGGAGTGTGCAGTGTGTGGGAATTTACAGTAACAGATGCAGGTTCACGTGTGTGCGTTTGTGGGTGTGAGAGGTGTGTGTTTGTAAGGCACAAATGGCAAGTATGGTTATGTGTTTATTGAGGGAACGTTGCGGTTTAAAATATGAAAATAAAAGCACAAAAAAATGTAGAATAACAAATTATTAACAGCAATACATTTTGTTTCGTTTGGTTTTAAGACTCGGTTGTGTTGTGAATTAGCAAAAATAAGCCATTTAAATAAATTATTATTTTTAAGCACACACACAACTGACTAAATACGAACCGATCTTTGCTGGGTATGGCCCAGTGGTGATCCAATAGACTCTTGCGTCGCTCCTCCAGTGTGCTGCGTGTGTTGGTCGGGCCAAGCGTTTTCTTATCCTCGTTCTCGTCCTGAGCGTCAGTCTTAGCGCTATCTTTGGCATCCGTTGACGTATCCTAGTGGACGTGCCGTAACAGAATCAGCAATTGAATAACCATAGTTACAGCTTTGATTTGCTTACCGCAACACGATCGCGCTCAAAGGCCTTCGGGAAGGCATCGCCATCGCGACCCGTGCTGGAACATAGTGACTCCTGATCATCGGTGATCTCTAGTGAACCAATTTCGGCTTAAATTATAAACATAAAATATACACAATTAGCTATCATGCGGTCTGTTATGGTATTTAATCTTACCCTCCAAGCGTTGCTTGTTGGGGTCCAGGTCTTCCTGCTGTTCGGGCAACTCCTTGGAATCTTCCTCAACTAATACTGGTTTGGGATAATAGATTTCGGGCTTCTCTGCATCACTGCCGGCGCTAGCAGACGCTGCAGCCACACTCGGCCCGGCACCGCCAGCTACACGCATGTGCGCTATGTCATGGAATATGGCTGCATTTACAACCAGATCCATGGGTGCTATGACCCCGTAGCTTTCTGGGCCATGCTCAATGACCAGCGGATCACTAACATTTGGATCAAACATGACAGCGTTGCGTGTGACCAAGAGAACGCCACCGACAACGCCCTGACCATCGGTAATGTGTCGTACATTAATCTTGAGAAAGCGCTGGGTAATCACGGGATCATCGCTCCTGTCCGCATTCTCCTCGGCCTGGCTGTTGCCAACGCTGCTATTGCCCACAACGCGCTCAATGTGTCCCGGCTTGGGCGAGCCTGGTCGAAGGCCTTCAAGAATATCTGTAAGACAAGGATTTGACGTGAATATAGTGGTTTTTTTTTGTGGGTCTGTTGCAAAACGCGCAATTGTCTGTTGAGGGGCAAGCGCTGTGATTTTTATCTGCCTGATAAGATAGTGTGTGTGTGTGTAGCCCAAGCAGGCCAAATTGATTTATGTGATATTTAGTTTAAATGTAAATCTCTAGAAATGCGGGACATGTGACATGAATAGCTTGGCGAAATGCGCTGCAAATTTGCAGCGAGGCCCGCACTTAATTAGCACATTGATGTATCAAAAAGCCAAATGTGATTCCGGCAATAACCTCCGTTTCGCCAAAATACAGCCGTATGCATGCTGAGGCTGATGACGTCTGGTCTACGCGTCGGTGCACTTTACAACACTTGCAATCCAATATGGTCAACGTGCGTGGCCCAAATGTTGAGAACGAGCTTCTTTCGTTTTATCTATTCCCGTCGTTTGGGCCACACAAAACAAATACAAAAGCGCAACTGTCACGAACACATAGCAGAGTTAGGGCTGCACAGTTTTAGCAGCTGTTGGGCCAGGGCTACACATAGCGACAAACGTATGTGCAAAGTGTTGTTAAGCGCTGTTGTGCAGCGTTGCCAACTATCTGACGGCGCCGTTGAATTTTTGAATAGCGAATATATGCATGCAAAATGCAGTCAAGCAAAAAAAATGTTAAATTAAATATAAATGACATTAGCAAAACTAGATTAACTCCAAAATTAGCTTCAATATCATCGCACCAATTGCACCATTTCCAGCAACGTCGCTTACCTTTCTCCTGCTTGCTCTCATCGCCAGACAACTTGCGCTCAATTGGACTGGATTTGCCGGAGAGACTGCCGCCGCCCCCGCCTCCGCCACCGCCATCAATCGTGCCAGAGGAACTGGTGGAGGCATCGTCTTTGGCACTCTTATCGGGCACCAGCAACTGCTGGCCCGGATATATAAACGAGCTGTTCAGCCGATTCAAATGCGTTAGCTCCGATGGCGTAGTATCAAAACGTGCCGCCACCGATGTCAGTGTGTCGCGATTTCCCACAGTATAGGAAATGGTGGGTATGGTGGGCAATGAAGACTTTTGCCCTGTGAAAAAGAAAACGGTTTCAGTTAATTAACCGGACACCTCAAAAAATAAACTAAAATAATCACAATAAATTATATAATGTAATGTATAATGTATTCGATTAATTATGTAATATATTCGAGTAATTATTACTTTGCGGCTTCTTCGGTAGCTGATCAAAGATCATGTACTCCTTATCAACAGGTCTCAGTCGCGAATAGACAACATCTGTTCCAATTGCATCCTGCGCCACCTGTACGAACTGGCGGCACAAATAGATGACAACGAATTCGTTGGCGGTTAAAGGCCGCTGTCTGTTATTTACATTGGAACGCCAATAGCTTTCAACAAATTCCAGCATTCTGTATAAGATCTATTAATTTATGTACTCTACGCCTGTTTTACGTACGATGTATTTGCTTAATTGCGAATAACTTAAAAGGAAGCACGCTATTATAACACTTTTTTATTGCGCGTCCTTCGCTTCTCGCTCTTTCTCTCTCTCTCTCTCTCTTTTGCTACTCATTCGTCCAAGCAGCAAATAAAAAAATATTATACCAGCAGCAACATCTTCTTTGACAGCAGACGCTGCAAAATTTTGGCTGAGTCTGCAGTTTTCCGTTTCGAAAAGCAAATACGAAATGTAACGCCAAGGCTGGCGGCGCGAAATCAACTCAAATCAATGTGCTTAGTTTTATGTTGGCGTGTGTATTTTTTTATTTTTTTTATTATGTATGTATGTATACATTTGATAATGCCTTTTTATAGGGATTTTGTTATCAATGTGCCGCAACTTTAACATAGCCCATGTGTCAATAACTGTTTCCGTATACCGTTAAGTCTTGGCTGAGTCAACAGGTCGAGAATGATTGATTTTTTAGTGTTTTCTTTAACAACTTTTAAGTCGAGAAATTTATTTCACTTAATCATTTTTTATTTCAAATATTTTCCATTTAGCCGCATCGAGAAAAAAATTAAAAATTGTTTTCTTGTTTACTGGCGGCCAAAATAAGAACAAACAATCACAAGATTATGCGGCACCGCAAAAACCGTTATCCCCCCAAATAAAACTAACTGATCAGATGTTTTTTTCGCTGTTAGGACAGCTGATAGCTCCTGCTAAAACCATCTTTCGGCTGTTAAATGTTAAAACTAACAGATCAGTTTTCAGAGAAACTAAAGTGAACTCTCATACTATTTTGCTTTTTATAAAAAGTGCTGATAACAGTGCTGTGCGCTGTTAGAAGATGTGAAACTTTTAGCAATTCGCAGCTAACTTCGTGTGAGTTCAGTTTGCGCGCAAAACCATAGATGGCGATAGTGTGCGGAAATTGCGCGCGACTTTTGAAATTGAAATTGTTTACAACATGAAATACTCACTTGACAGTTTGTCGACGCTCTCAAATCGTTGCTCAACTTTCGAACGCAACGAATCCAAATCGAATGGTGCCGCAAGGCCATGATCCACACTGCGCGATTTGCTCCTGTAATATAAACAAAATAAGAAGAAAACACGTGACGAAGCACAAATCGGTTGTTAAATTAATTGGCAATATAAAGCGATAGCAACTTGTTGCTGCGATCTTTATCACTTACAAATTTTCCAGCTTAAATTGTGGCCATAACCAGCTAATAACAATTTATTTATGTGTTTATTTTGTTGTTTTTATTTATATGTAATGCTATTTTTTATCTGGCAATCAACATTTGTGAACTGACCAAAAATGGACATCGACGAATTTTAAATCGTTTATTGTTTTTGTTTTTTTTTTTTTTTATTGCGTTTGTAATTGTTTTATCCGACGTAACCTTTAAATGCGCTCGTCGCCTGTCACGAGTCTGTGCTCAAAGTTTGGCATGGAATTTCATAAAAATCTAAATTGAAATGGAAAACATTGTGTCCATAGCATAGCAGGCCGGCGAATAGCAGTCAACTGCTTAAAATAAGTTCATCTGCTGAAGCTGGCATATTCCTGAGCTATTTCCTATTGAAAGTATTATGGAGGAATATACACGCGAGCCGTGCCCCTTTCGCATAGTGGAGGACTGTGGCGGCGCCTTCACCATGGGCGCTGTGGGTGGCGCCATATTTCAGGCGATCAAAGGTTTTCGCAATGCCCCCTGCGGGCTGCCGCGTCGCCTGGCGGGCGGCCTGGCCGCGATGCGTGCCCGTTCCGGACTGGTTGGTGGCAGCTTTGCCATTTGGGGCGGCACCTTCAGCGCCATCGATTGCAGCCTGGTCTATAGTCGCGGCAAAGAGGATCCATGGAATTCAATTATCAGCGGCGCGGCAACTGGCGGCATACTAGCTGCACGCGGTGGCAAGTGCTTGAATATGGCAGTCCATTCGTGATAAGCATTATATTCAAATTTCAGGTGTCACCGCCATGCTGAGCAGTGCACTGGTGGGTGGGGTGCTGCTGGCTCTCATCGAGGGCGCCGGCATTGCCATGTCGCACTATACGGCCGATAACTATCGCCAGGTATCTGTGCTGGAGCGTATGCAGCATTACAATGAGCGTCAACTGCGTCAGCAACAGCAGCAGCAGCAGCAGCAGCAGCAGACGACTACAACGATTCCCAGCTTCTACACGGATCCAAACGAGGCGAGTCTCTGTCTCGTTTAATCTTCTGATTGAATTCATCATTCGATTTTTGTCTCATTTTTGCAGGGCAACTCGATGCCGGCTTAGATTCCTGCTGCGTCATCGATAGGCAACGACCATCGAATACAAATGTTGAAAATGTGTTTTTGTTTTTTGCTCTTTTTTTTTCTGATTGTTCGGCGGGGCATGCGGCAAGTGCCTCGAAATTGAATAGAAATACAATTGCTGGCACATTCAGTTTCATTAAAATTCATTTGCCGTGCATTTAAAGCTTTTTTTTTTGTGTACGTTTCATTGTTTTCTTTTTTTATAGTAGAATGTTCTTAACATTTGGATGTTGTCGCGGAATTTTTGATGACGACTTCGATATTAAAGCCGCGTGTGCTTCCTAGCGCCAAGTTTGTAAGCGGCCTTTTAAAGTCTGCTGCGCGTTTTGGCATGCGGCGAACTATGGACTACCGCCTCGATGTATGATAATGCTTGGGCAGTTGCCTATACTCAACTAGTATCTATATGTATATATCTATATGTATATATATAGTGACATATCCATAGTCGCACCCACCCTTTAACATAACTTAGCACATAAGCATAAGCACAACTATAAACATTTCTAATATTGTAAACAAAGAGCCTGGTGATAACATCGACATTGGTCAAGATCAAACTGTCCCCCTTTGGTAGACATAAACAATTCACCCTAAATATCACGCCACTGTCAATGTTCCCATCAGAGTACTATCCCACGCATAATTGCTGACGCAGCTCAAACTTCACTCAATTTTGACTCAAACTCTCTCAAAGCGAAGTTTGCTAAGCGACCGCAACAGTGAGATAAATTAGTTCATATTCGGGAAGCAAATCTGAATGTACTCAACAAAAGTAGCCGTTAAGTGAAAATAATAAATTGAAATATATTTTTTTATAGTAACCTAACGTGTAAAACTTAATTGGCGCAGCCGGTAGGATACGTCGGGAAAAATTAAAGATCGCTAAAGGATAATTAATTCCCAGATCTAACGCACAATCGCGACCGAAAGTGTTGTCGGAGTGTAATAAAAATTTTCTCGAATACGTATCCGCACAAGAACCTTCGGGTCATTAGTAGCTTAATAATATTGACCCTTTGGGCAATAAAGCTACTACAGTTAATAACGACTGGCTTTGCATATCGTTTGATCCCTGCAATACGTTATTACTGAGTCTTTTTAAGACACACACACAAAAAAAAAAAAAAACATTTGCACAATAATCCATCACAAACTTTAACTTAAAATAAAAGTGCAAAATCAAAGAACAATAAAGTTCAAACCTACAAACTCAAAACTATTCAAAAAAAAGTGTATTACACCAAGATGACAATGGAATTATCAGAACAACACCTCAACCAGGCCCTTTCACAACTTAGACAGGTGCCAAGCTTTGACGGATCAACGGATCAACTAAACGCCTTCATTAAAAGGATAGATTACATCCTACACCTGTATCCAACCCGAGATGTTAGACAACATAGCATCTTATACGGAGCCATCGAATTGCAAGTCACAGGAGATGCTCAGAGAATATCACAAAGGACAGCAGCCAACACTTGGCAGGAGCTGAGAAACGCATTGATTGAAGAATACAAAGTGCAGACACCATTTGAAGAACTCCTTCGACGCTTATACAACACGAATTACCAAGGAAACGTCCGTAAGTTCATCGAGGAGCTCGAGAATAAATCTTTTGTTATTTTAAATAAGTTAGCACTAGAAAATATACCTAGCAATACAACCCTTTATACAAATGCTATGAATAACACAATCAAAGATGTTATTACAAAAAAATTACCAGATAGGCTTTTCATGATGTTAGCCAGACACGACATTACGTCGACACAAAAACTAAAGCAAGTAGCTCAAAGAGAGGGATTATATGAAAATAGCGTTACTGAAAAACCTAAAAATAATAATGTTCAGGGAAATCCAAATAACAATCGTAGGAACATGGGAAATTATCAGCAAAATGCTAACCCAACCACCATTTCAAGTGGCTATTCCAACACGAATCAGAGTTATCACGCACAAAATAAACAGCATAATAAGTCCGAAGACAATCAGAAAGCTCACCACGAGTTCCAACAGAAATTAAGTCAAGGTAGATACCAAAATCCCTTAAACTACCAAAATCAGTCCCATTCACGCTTGAATGCACCAAACCCTCCGACTAAACGTCAAAGAGATAGTAACAGTGGGCAGATGAAAATGGATACATCCGAAAATTTTCATCAGCAAGCCTCGGAACAAACAGAAGAAATCCATTCATAAAATTGATTATGAATGACGAAGTTCTAAAATGTGTCATCGACACAGGTTCAACCATAAATCTAATGAAAACAAACCGCTTAAATTTTCCAGTTTACAACGAAACATTAAAGGTTCACACCATAAATGGTGTTATTGAATTAAAACAAAGTATACGATTAGGAGCAAGCAAAATTTGTCCGAGCAAACAAAAATTCTATATTCACGACTTCTCAGAGCATTATGATGTTCTGATTGGGAGAGAATACCTTGAGGCATGTCAAGCAAAAATAGACTATGCACAAGGATCCGTAACCTTAGGAGAATTTAACTTTTGTTTTAGATATAACGACGAAGAGGTCGAAGAGGACATGACCGCACAAGAGTGCCTTGATCCACCCTCAACAGAGGACAGACCATTTAACTTCGCTATTAATAATGAATTAATAGAAAACAATGAGTTTAGGCTAGAGCACCTAAACTCAGAAGAAAAAGAAAAAATAAAAAAAGTTTTACATGAATTTCGTGATATCCAGTACCATGAAGGTGACAATTTGACTTTCACTAGTACAATTAAACACAAAATTCTAACAAAACATGAGGACCCAATTTACAAGCGTCCATACAAATATCCTCAAATATACGATGAGGAAGTAAATAAACAAATAAGCGATATGATAAAACAAAATATCATACGTAAATCCAAATCCCCTTACTGCTCACCAGTAATAATCGTTCCAAAGAAAAACGATGCATCTGGAAAGCAAAAGTTCCGGTTAGTCATAGATTACCGCAATCTCAATGAACTAACTATTAATGATAAATACCCTATCCCGATCATGGATGAAATATTAGACAAACTTGGAAAATGTCAATATTTCACAACCATTGATCTAGCCAAAGGCTTCCACCAAATCCAAATGGATCCTGGTTCAATACCCAAGACCGCATTTTCGACTAAACATGGCCATTACGAGTACACTCGCATGCCATTTGGTCTTAAGAATGCACCTGCAACGTTCCAACGTTGTATGAACAATCTCTTAGAAGATTTAATTTTTAAGGATTGTCTGGTCTACTTAGACGACATTATTATTTTTTCCACTTCATTGGAGGAACACATTTTGTCGCTACAAAAGGTATTTAAGAAGCTTAGAGAAGCTAACTTAAAACTACAGTTGGATAAATGCGAGTTTATGAGAAAAGAAACTGAATTTCTCGGTCACATCATCACAACTGAGGGTATAAAACCAAATCCCAACAAGATACAAGCAATTGTCAAATTCCCAATTCCAAAAACCCCAAAAGAAATTAAATCATTTCTAGGATTATGTGGTTTCTATAGGAAATTTATACCAAATTTCGCTAATATAGTAAAACCATTAACACTTAAATTAAAAAAAGGAGCAAAAATCAATATAAAAGACAGAGACTACGAACTAGCGTTTGAAAAGCTAAAAGTACTCATAACATCCGACCCAATTTTAATATACCCTAACTTCGAAAAACCATTTTCATTAACTACAGACGCGAGTAATATGGCAATAGGGGCCGTCCTTTCGCAAGAGCATAAGCCTATATGCTATGCAAGTAGAACTCTCAACGAGCATGAGTTAAATTATTCAACGATTGAAAAAGAATTATTAGCAATCGTTTGGGCCACTAAATACTTTAGGTCCTATCTCTTTGGTCGACAATTTCAAATCCTTAGTGATCACAGACCACTCGTCTGGTTAAATAATATGAAAGAACCTAACATGAAATTACAAAGGTGGAAGATCAAGCTAAATGAGTTTGATTTCCAAATTAAATACGTCCCAGGAAAAGAAAATTATGTGGCAGATGCTCTGTCCAGAATTCAATTAAACGAAAACTTCTTAGGCGAAGATACAATTAGCACAAGAGCAACAATACATAGTGCTCAAGAAGACAACAGTAACCATTTACAAATCACAGAAAGACCACTTAATTATTATAATCGACAAATAGAATTTGAAAAAGGAACCGAGAACGAAACAAAAGTTACGAATTACTTTCACAAAACCAACATAAAAATTACGTACAAAGACATGACTAATACGCATGCCAAAGAATTAATAAAAGAATACTTATGCACAAAGAAAAGTGTGCTATACTTCCACAACGAAGCAGATTTTCCAATTTTTCAAGAAGCCTACTTAGAAATAATAAGTCCGAATAATTCAACAAAGGCAATGAAAACTAGTACAAAATTAATAGACCTTCAAACATACGCAGAATTCAAAGAATTAATATTAAAAAAGCACAAAGAATTATTACATCCAGGAATTGAAAAAACTATCAATTGGTTCAAAGAAACCCACTATTTCCCAGATTATCAAAATTTAATTCAAAATCTAATAAATGAATGTGAGATTTGCAACATCGCAAAAACAGAACACAGAGATACAAAATTAACTTTCGAAATAACTCCGGAAATCGCTAATATCCGAGAAAAATATGTAATGGATTTTTACATAGTAGGAGATAAACAATTTTTATCTTGCATTGATATCTATTCAAAATTTGCATCATTAATAGAAATAAAAAGTAGAGACTGGCTAGAAACCAAACGAGCTATATTACAAGTGTTCAACCAAATGGGTAAACCCATCGAAATAAAGGCAGACAAAGACTCAGCTTTTATGTGCACAGCTTTACAATTATGGCTAAAATCAGAAGCAGTAAATATTAATATAACCACTAGTAAAAATGGTATATCCGACGTAGAACGATTTCATAAGACAGTTAACGAAAAACTAAGAATCATTAACAGCGACTCAGACGTCGAAAATAAACTTACAAAATTTGAAACTATACTCTACACGTACAATCATAAAACAAAGCACAAAACGACTAACAGAACACCAGCGGACATATTCATATATGCAGGTACACCAGAGTATGACACTCAAGCTAATAAAGAAAAACTAATAAATAACCTCAACAAAAAACGAACAAATT